ATATATAAAACCTCTGTTTAATATATTCATAATTTGTCCCTAGCTTAGGGGTAGAGTAATTAGAGAGCATTAGACATCCTTATCCCATATGGATTGGCCACCACAGAGTTCAGACCCCACTGTGAATCTTTGGGATGTGCTGGAGAAGACTATGCAGCTGTACAAATTTTCCATTGTCAATACAAGATTTTAGAGAAAAATTAATGCAACTTTTTTTTGGCTAGGCAGTGTACATTTTGTCTAAAGAAAAAAATATTCATGAGGTGAAGCTAATGTTTGTAAGGTGTGATGGTAAGCTGACATTCTCACAATTTCAATGTTCAAGTGTGTTTTAAGAAGGAAAAACACTCCACAAATTTGACAGCACATATTTGTCTGCACAGGATCCCAAGTAGGGCTGCAACATTGAACCGATAAAAATCCATTATTAAAAGTTTTGGCAACAAATTTCATTATCARTTCATTGTGTCCCATGATTTGTGCTTCCTTCACCATGATGCCAAAGCCATATGTCACCCACAGAGCGTTGTCAATATTGGCTGACCTAAATAAAGTTTAGAAAGAAAAAAATCGACCTGCAGAGCCAGTTGAACGTAGCAAGGCAGACATGGTGTTTCGAAAGGAATTTTTTAAATATCTACAAATGATAGACATAAAACAGTTCGAGCCAAGTCATCAAAAGTATGGGAGCACTTCACGCTTCAGAAGCACCACATTCATGTTACAGCACCTGAAGTGTAAGCATGTCAAAGATATCAATGAGGATGAAAGCAGCTCAGTTCAGGTGTTTTATCAGTCTAACCGGAAAGATGCCCTCTCTGAGACTTTGTTTTAGTTTGAGTCAAAAATAGAGACTTCAAACTTAAACCAGTTTTTATAATTATTGTTAGGCCAAGTAGAACTGGAGTTATGATGAATTGTATACACTGCATTTAATTTGATGCGTGCCATAGGGTTGGGCATAATCGTATCGTGTGCAAGTAATTGTCAGAAAAACATWAATCGATTATTTTTTGGCACTTAATGATTAATACAATTTATGCCACCAGGCAGACGGACTGGAGATTTCAGTCCACTCGGTGCTCCTCTCCACTTCAAATATGATGAAAAAAAAAATTAAAAGTTGTGTAATTTATTTATCTATCAACAAAATTTTAAATTTGATATGTAGCCTGAAGTCTGTAATTTTGACACAATTTGGAACAGATTTGTATGAAGAGCAAATCTTTCCCACTTAATTGGTCACGTGACTAGGACATGAGGGTGTCCAGGAACTCCAGGGGATTAATCGTCAAATTAATCGTTATCGGCTAAATACCACAATTAATCGGGATTAATTTTTTTGCCAATATTGCCCAACCCTAGCGTGCCATGTCGCAAGAAGGAAACAAGGTAAAAACACATCAGTCCACCATCTGTTTTATCCTTCTCTCAAGACAAAAATGTTAAAAAGTTTATTAATGTGTAAGAAATCCGCTATTGTTTTCCATCAGTATTTAAAACAGCTGGAAAACAAAACAAATTGAATTGAATTGAATAAACCTTTATTGTCATTGTACAAAGCACAATGAACTTGTTAAAATATAATGATGTGCTTCAGCATATATAAAAAATCATTTATAGAAAAACCCTCTTGATTCAAGAGAAAAAGAAAATGGCCACTTATCAATTAATCTTTAGTCAATCGATAAGATCAATCAACTTTAGATTAATTCATTCATCAATAACTTGCATCCCTAATTTATACAGGAATTAAAGTTAATACATCTACTCATATCCTCTTCCTCTCATTCATGTCAGGTTTTTAGGAAAATGGCCACTTATCAATTAATCGTTAGTTGATCGATAAGGTAAATCAACTTTAGATTAATTCATTCATCGATAACTTGCATCCCTAATTTATACAGGAATTAAAGTTAATACATCTACTCATATCTATGTAATTAAGTGTTCAAATAAATAGACAAATTAATCGATTATTAAAATAATTGTTAGTTGCAGCCCTAATCCCAAGTTTAGCTCAATTACTGTGCTGTTTTTTTCTAAAAACACCTCATTCAGCATGCCTTTCCTGAAGACATGAAAGCACAGTAACTAGTGTCACCTAATCCTTGCTGAGTTTGTCATTTCTTCATAGGGTACACTGCAGTAATGCCATGGCAAGGCATTGCCCTGGAAGAAGCCATACCAGTTTGTGAACGTGGAGACACTTTTATGGTTGATGAGATCAAACTGACAGAAAAACAAACCAATCCACCTGACTACCTGACAGAGGCTGAACTCATCACGCTCATGGAGAAACATGGCATCGGTATCTGCACCACCAGACACAACTGCTGAATGTAGCTTTGGGGTGGCTCTGGTGGAGTGGTTTGTAGAGTCGTCCTGTAACCGGTAGGTTGCCGGTTCCATCCCCCATTCCAGCTGTCTCAGTCGTTGTGTCTTAGGCAAGACAGTTTACCCGCCTTGACTACTGATGGTGGTCAGAGGGTCTGGTGGCGCCGGTGCATGGCAGTCCCGCCTCTTTCAKTGTGCTCCAGGGCAGCTGTGGCTACAATGTAACTTACCATCATCAGTGTGTGAATGTGTGTGTGGGTGAATGTCTGAAGTGTAAAGCGCTTTGGGGTCTGGAGGGACTWAAAAGCGCTATATAAGGTCAGTACCATTACCATTTCTTTGTCTCTTTGTAAATATCATATAATTAGTTTTATCCAAGTTTAATGATAATTTGTTTAATTTAAACCAATCTTGTTTTTTCACAAATTCTGCTTGCATTTTCTCTAACATAATTTCTGTCTTTTCCCAAAAAAATAATGTTTTATCATTTGCAAACAAAACACATTTAAAGAGCCCTGACACATTGACCAAGTCATTTACATGTAGGATAAACAATTTTGGTCCAAGTACAGAACCCTAAGGAACTCCACGTTATTCCACAGAGTTCAGATCTTACATCATGTACAGGTGCTGGTCATAAAATTAGAATATCATGAAAAAGTAGATTTATTTCAGTAATTCCATTTAAAAAGTGAAACTTGTATATTATATTCATACATTACATACAAACTCATATATTTCAAATGTTTATTTCGTTTAATTTTGATGATTACAAATGACAACAAATAGCATCTGGTCAGAGACAGGTTCTGATATAAACACTGAACTAAACAAGCAGGTCAGATAATTATTTATTCAGCTCTGATTGGACAGCAACTTCAGAATCAACATACTCTGTAAACACCACGCTGAATGAATGAGACTCGTCTTTTTCTGCACATGCAGGTAGCAAGTTGTTAGCGGCCTGTGTTGTTAGCGGCCTGTGTTGTTAGCGGCCTGTGTTGTTAGCGGCCTGCGTTGTTAGCAGCCT